TCTTGATGTTCATTGCCCACATTGCCAACTCTTGATGTTCATTGCCCACATGACAGTGAGACTATATAAAGACGATCATGAGATGCTTGCGTGATGTTGTGTCGCGTTGCTTACAGACGTGTCGCTGCCCTAGCAGCGATAGCTGCCATGCTGTGACAGGAAGCTGCATATGTGATCCGGGATTCACTGGAGACAGATGCAACGAGAGTGAGTGGTGACCGCGTCCCTGTACACACACTGATGTTGAGTCACACAGCTCGCAAAACCACGCACGCGCACACGCACACGCACACGCACACGCACACCGGCACGCACACGTACACACACACACACACACGTCCGTCTGTTGACGTCACACATGCACACGTGCACACACCAACCCAGAACAACGTTCACCGCAGTCAAAAGCACACCCTGGCAACTCACTTAATCTAGTTTTCAATCTTAACTGAGCACAAACTTCTGGTCTTCATTCGTTTCGGAATATTTTTCGTGTATTTGTATGTTTCCTGTATTTTCATTCATTGCGTGCAGTAATTTCATCCATAACATCTTTCTATGAACCCGAATCGCGGTCTATTAAGCGAAGCCATTTCTGTCATCATCCCTTCATTCGTGTCTTCGGGTTTCGTCAGCATTCGCTCATCGTCGTTATAACCCCGCCTCCTCCTCTTCGCCACTCTGCAGCGTGCCCGCAGGGAACGTTCGGTCTGATGTGTGCTGCCATCTGTGGGTGTAGGAACGGCGCGCACTGCCATTTCGTGACTGGACGCTGCACCTGCAGGCCGGGTTGGATCGGCCGGCGATGCGATATCGGTGAGTTGAAACACGACTTGAAACGTGTTGAGTTGCGTCTCGTTTCGAGTAGCGAATCTGTAGTTTGCGAACTGCTGAACTTCCGCTTGTAGTTCCGTATCGCGTCCGATAACGTGTCTCTTACATTTATGATTGCTAAATAGAGATGAGGTCATGACAGCTTGCCCTGCTCGTAACCTCGTAACTTCGCGAAGAACAATCTCTAGCTGTGGTCCAAGAAACTGTAACGAAGAAGTAGAGCGACATCTAACAAACTTGTCATAGCAACTCTAATTGTTAGGGAATAAGTCGTATGAACTACCCTAGCGCCCGATGCAGAGTGGCAATGCATCAACAGGGGAGTAGGTCTCAGGAATACCACAATCTGCTAAACAAATCCCAGGGGGCCATAGCCTTTTACGGGGGCAGGGGCAAGGTGCAGGCAGCTTCCCTATACTTTAGGAAACAATAAAATAATAGCGTAATAAATCTGAATAGCCTTGAAATAATTGCCTCTATTCATGCAGTCATCCGTTAAAACCTCGTCCTACACCCATCCCCCTCCCCATACACATTGACTTGGAGATGCGCCCCCCTCCCCCATCTTTACTCGGTCGACTCGTGAGATTTTACCACCCCTCAGGAATTTTCCTGTTTCTCATGTTGGCTGGAAGTTGTGTCCGTTTCTCATCATTACTCATGCAGTTGAGTATGCCCTCCCCTCAGGAGTCTGCTCTGGCTACAGCCCTGATTAACTTGCACTTACTCGTTTTGCTTTCAGCGTGTCCTGAGGGAACGTTTGGTACCGACTGCAGTGAGGTCTGCCGCTGCATGGGAAACTCTATCTGCCAGCCGGAGCTGGGCTGCGTCTGCCCGAGTGGTTACAACGGCGACGACTGCTACAACGGTACGTGTCAACGTCACTCGTTATTTCTTCGTATGACTCGTTGCTATGAATGCAGGGCCGTAGATAGCCGGGGTTGTGTGGGGGGGGGCACAGAGGCAGTTGCCCCCCCAGAAAAAAGTAGATATACAATACATGGGCAAAGGTGGTCACCTTCCCAGAACACACTATGTGCATGGCTTTAACCCCCCCCCCCCAGGAAAAATGGGTTAGCTACACTTCTGGAATGCAAACACGAGACTCACCTGAGTGTCGCTCTTGCACACGTGAGGCGTCACCGACTTTTGACATCCATCCCCTAGCGAGTCATTAGAGACCCGCTCTGCACACGCTTCCCGTTTCTTACTCTTCCCCGGTTTTGTCTACTTCTTCAGGACTACGGGACCCTGTTCCTACCTGTGACACACACTGTGACACAGTGCCGTTGTTTGTTACGGCAAACACAGCCATTGTCTACTGTGGGCTTGCCTTTCCGAGTGTAAAGACCCCGAATTTCGAACCAACGTAGAACCCCTGAATTTAGAGAACGGTGGAATTGACATTTCCGTCTGCGTGAGGTAACCAATAGCGATCATCGATCTGCATGTGTTTCAGAGATTGGCGGACAAGAATCTGCACGTGTGGCGTCATCGACAGAGCGCTCATCCGGCCAGGGGGCGCTGATCGGCGGTATTATAGCGCTAGTAATAGTGCTGCTCATCATTCTGCTGATACTGATCTACTACCGGCGCCGTGTACGCCGACTGAAGCGCGTGCTGCCACCTGTCATGTATGTTGTGTACCATTTCTTGGTCGATCTTTGTCAGTATGACATTCTCCCTGGCCTTAAATCACGTTTGTATCTTTATTTTCACATTGTCTTGATGAATGTTTTAATATATCGCGCAGTATGTAATATTATATAGATATTGTTTTAGCGGATGAAGTATTACAGCAAATACAGCAGATTTACTGTCAAAACTGTATCGCCACCAAATAATTGAAATTAATCTCGAAATGTAATTATTAATTAAAATTATTTTATGAGAAAACCCTTCGATATATGATAGCTAGTTGTAGTATGCCGGCAAGGGAGTCTATATTTTTTGCATCCACGCTGCAGGTACACAGCGCGACCTGGTGGTGGTGTAACGCAGGCTGAGAACCCGCTCTATCCACTAAGCATCACCTCCGAGAATGGAGCAAAGTCCCTGAACAACGCACATGTTCTGAAGAACGATATATTCACGAAAGAACAAAAGAACCTTGAACAGGTGATTGCGTGAACAATTAACTAGCGAAATTTGTTGTTGTCTGTGTGTGCGTGCATTCATCCATGTGTGCGTGCGTGCATCCATGTGTGCGTGCGTGCATCCATGTGTGCGTGCGTGCATCCATGTGTGCGTGCGTGCATCCATGTGTGCGTGCGTGCATCCATGTGTGCGTACGTGCATCCATGTGTACGTGTGTGCATGTTTCCTGTGGGTGTGTATGTGTGACTGGACTAATTGTTTTTGGTTATTATTCAACATGTACCTCAGTTTAAAACAACTACATATAATTTCATGTGGAATCTACTTCTTGTATTCTCTTAGGATGTCTCTGCAGATTAGCTGGAGTTTTAATGCGCAAATTCACAGCCTGCGTGGGATATCACTAGACAATTTTTGCTTGGTGATCTTATAGGCAAAGCTGTTTGGCGCGTACGGTAGCTGCGAGTCATCCTCCATGGTTAAACCGGATAATACTCAGCTTAATCTGATCCTCAAGGAGAAAGGTTGGTTTCCACACTCGTCAGTGGTTCCTAGAACTGCTAGTCATTATTCAATTTTCCAACTCACTTTTTTCCAGAAAAATGTCCCTAAAATTCACCCTGTCATATCTCCGGAAGATATTTAAGACATTTTTTTTTTCCAAAATTCATCCTGCAAATTATAGTGTGTGCTTTAACACTTGTAGCATCTTATGAACCATCTTATATAATGGAAAAAGTGATTTTAGCTTAGAAGTTGTTAGCTGTTAAGACACCGCGACTCCACTTTAAACAAAAGTTTTGTTGTTGAGATTTGAATTTACATGAGCACAGTTGATCAGTGGGTCACTTATCGTGTGAACATTCTTTCATTAATGCTTGCATTTTTCAATCTGAACATAACTGTAAGTATTACATTAATGTGAGTCTTGTACCGCAGATGCGCAGAGGCGCTAGAATTTGTTACGAGTAATTAAGCACACGCAACACGAGAATAAACTTTAATAATTCTTGCCGAGCTTAATAATGCTATACAGGCTATAGTGTGTACTATACAGTAGTATGTACACCAGTAACGTACTATATAACAGAGTTGTTTATTATATTTTGCTTATTATTCTCTATACCTCTAGAATTGACTGACAATTCTGATGATGAAGCAGATGTATTTGGACCGCGGTACGAGCGCGTGAAAAAAGTAGAAAACGTGCCGGTGGCGCCCTACAGTGGCGACCCCAACATCTACCACTCAATCGATGAGATAGGTAATACAGCAAGCTCACTATTCAACGATGACCTAGATAATGGTACGTGGAGAAGGGCACATATCAACGAAATTGATTGAAACTAAGAGTGAGAATGCGATCATTCCGTCTCGTACGATTTAGCTTTCTCCTTGGACAAAGAAATTAAAACACCGACACGCACAGAGCGCACAAGGTGTGCGTGCACGCATCCCTGGATTGACTCTATCGCGTGAGATCAAACGCAGCCATCTCCCTCTTTCTCTCTCTCATCTACTGCTGTCTTACTCTCTCTTTCTTTCTCTCTTATGTAATGCCATCTTACTCTCTCTCTCTCTCTATCTCTCATCTAATGCTGTCTCTCTCTTATTTAACGCTGGCTCTCTCTATCTCTCTCTCTCTCTCTCATCTAACGCCGGCTCTCTCTCTCTCTCTCTCTCACTCATCTAACGCCGTCTCTCTC